GTAATGCTTTGGCTTCTAGGAACAGATTGCACTTTCTAGCGCAAGTCATGTATATTTTAATAAAATTAACTGAACATTGTATTCGGAGTCAGGACGTAAAACATAATAATAAAGTGATTAAAGTAAATGTTGTAAACAAGTACATTCTTAGGGACGACGTCAAAAGATCGATGTCGGATAAAAACTTATTTCCTTTAGTTTGGGGGTGGGATGTTTTGACCTCAAAAAGTTTCCATCCTACAAAAATCGATTTTATTTTTTAATGAAAGTCAAAAAAAATCTTGGAGTATTTGTAGTTCATTTTTTTTCTACCCAATCATGGACAGAAATAACCGAAAAGGGAAAAAAACAGAAAAATGGTTTGGTTCGAGTGTAAATCTGTGCGTCAAATGAGGCGCATTTGTAAAATCTTTTTACACCCACCCGACAACCAACTGCTATGCAATACTACTGTCCGATTATCAATTTGTATTTAATAGTGAATGCAGTCTGACGCCATGACCAATATTTATCAATGTGGGGGTAGGGGGTTTGGAAAAAAACTAAAGGAATTAAGTTTTTTATCCGACATCGATTTTTTGACGTCGTCCCTTATATCAAATCGTGTACATGTGTATATTCTTGATTATTGCTTCGGATGGGGGAGGGCCCGCTCAACTTCCAGTTTGGTACAGGTATGTGACATGTAGGTCGAACCCTACGGATATTATGGAACATTTTCACTAAATAACACTTGCAGTCTGATGTACTCAAGATAGCACTTTATTGTTAATGTGGCGTAGACTTTAAAATAACACAGTGGAAACTCACACAATGTAATACAACTCTGAAACTTAACTATAATTTAATAAAATTTTAGTAACGATCAACTTATGAATATTGATTATTGTTATTTATTATTATTCATTTATTATTTGAAACTTATATATCGCTATGATTCCAGAAAGTCAGAGGAGCTTTACAATGATAGGAATTACAAAAATAAATAATTGAAATTTATTGGTGATAGTTGCAGGCTTCTTGAAATACATGATTCTTCAGTTTCTTCCTAAACACATAAAACGAATCACACTTTTGCATGTCAAATTGTTCCAGAGTTTTGGTGCAAGATTCGTTTTCCATAAGGTGACTTTGTAAAATGTTGTTCAAGAAGTAGAAGTTGTGTTTTGGAACGGAGTAATCCTGAGTGTCACAGTGTAACTCCTGCTTATTGCTATTGAGAGGGACACCCACAGAACTCGTGCCGGACAGGGCACTATAATGCCCGGACCACCATCCATCAGTTTCATAATACACCACCTTCAGTATGGAAACATTTGGATCAATGCGATGTTAATCAATAGATGTATACATTTACAGTGGTTGGGCGTTACCAGGCAACGTTGTTGTTATGACCGGTGATCATTTCTATTAATAGCGTCCGTATCTCGGGATGTGTCTTGTATACATCTATCATGGATTGTCTCGTTTTCTCAGCTAATGTCGGTACATCTTCCAAAGTGAGTCCAAACGTGTCCACGTGTGGCATCACGGTTACTGTAAATTTACCTACAATTACAGCAAAAACGTAATTTACTTATATTATGCAAATGATAGCAAACTTTGCATTCCCTTGAAAAATGGTGGCGCCCTCGTTGACAGTCGTAATGTGTACAGTAGTGTTAATCGAAATGTTACTTCTCCGTGTTATTACTGTGTTATCTTACTGTGTTATTATACATTAGAATATTTAATAACCTAATTTATCGTGTAATTTTTGTTTTCATATCACATACATTCAAAACATATCCAGAAAAACATGACCATCGATAAAATGATGAAATATTGGCGTAATTATCTGTGGTGCGTACGCAATGATGGTGTTTCGATTGCATTCGGGCGGGGGGGGGGGGACTTAAGTACCTACACATTATTGTTATACCTCATGACCATGACAGCCAATCAGATTTGAGCATTACAGGCATTAATGTGTCTTGTACCTGTTGACATATTCGTATGTCTACCTCCACTTGGGTCCGTTTCTCCCGAATTTACGCACGATACGCACCAAAATTTATAAAATACTAGTTTTCAATGCTTCTTTCACTATTCGACTATCTTATTGAAGAGAGACCTAGGACTAGCGCGCTCGGCTAAGCGCTTTGAAACATTTGATCCATGCTAGCGCAATTCGTCTCTCTAAAAAATCTGAGAGTCGTGGTCGAATATTATTAATAGTTTATTTACTAGCCGTGTGCAGCGTGCTTGAGTGCCACCATGAGTAATTTGATATATACCAGTAAAAATGTTCACCCACAAAATTATTGTTGGTATTGACTGGCATTACATACTTATATGCCACTTTTGGCTGTTTCATCCACTGTATGCATACACAGAAACACATTATATATTTCACGTAGGTGATTCGTGCTGGGCTCACTTACCTTGTGTGAATTTCTTTTCCTTATAACTAAAGAACTTCGACTGAGAAGAACAGACGACTGGAACGATCGGGACCTGAGCATGAACAGCTAAATTAAACGCACCCTTTTTGAATGGCAACATTGGATCTGAACATTCAGTGTTGTCCTTTCGTGTACCTTCCGGAAATATCCAAACTTTAGCCTATAAGCAACAAGAACCATGGCACGAAAAATCAGCTAATGTGATGACGTATATAGCGTCCTATGGATAGCTTCTTCCTCTGTGGTGGCGCAGATTACGTCACGGTATACACGACATAGCTACTTGCAATCGCCTTTTTACCACTCTTTTCTACGCTCACGTTATTTTTTACTTACTCTCTGAAAATAGAAAAAACCCTAGACTAAAGGATATTTATTTAAATCACACTCCATCTATCATAATGGTATAGGGTTTGTGCACCGTCCCCCAAGGTATTGGTCTGTGTTAAAATCATGGCCACTCACATTTTTTTTCTTGATTATTTTCATTGTTTGCTCCAGAGCTTGTTTCGCTTGCGACCTATTGCTTCTATCAACGAATATCACTCCGCAAAGAATACACAACAGTCCAACAGTTCCGGCGAATTTCGTCGACTTCTTCATAATAGCAGTGCACCGCGGTGGCAATATTTCCATCATAGCTAAACGAATACACAAAATATGTTTAAAGGGTGGTGGTCATCGCGCTGCGCATGTGTGAACATTGATTTTCCTACAATCCCATGCGCTCTTCTAATGGAAATCACAAGTATGAGGTTTGACCTCAGGGCGCGACTTGCAGTAATTACCGCCGCTGATTCCTTCGATACCTACCAATCACCCAAAAATACCTAATTAAAGGTAACGACTCAGTTTGTACTCGTTGATCTGCGCAACAGTCAAAGTCGCCATCTTTGTTTATATGAGACCCATATATATGCATGCGTGGCGCGACGACCACCGCCCTTTAAAAAAACCTTAACGACAGTTATACAATGTTTTGTCAAAACCATGATCGTTCATGTCAGTATTTTTGTTGATGTCGGTGATTCGTAAAAAAAAATGTTTGGCTGGCACTGCAAATATACTTTTAGTCATTCAAAGCATGGCTGTCTGCATCACCGATTGTTTTTAAAATACGATAACAATAGTTGAATCACCCCGCCAAATCATTTGACAATTTTGACATGTTACTTTTCATAGTGGCAACCAATCGTAGCGAGCAAGAACGTTTCAAGTTGATTGCATAGAACAGCCGTTGTGTTTTTTGTGTTCTTTGTGTGTCAATTATATATTTGACGTAACATAACGTTCGTCAAAATGTCAAGAACGAATCGGTAAAATATGCTTTCCGAACACTGAATGGCGGAACAATACAGCGTTAAGTACCGGATCGTCTGCATGTCACGGCCGTACCGAGTTTGTGCCGTACACTTGGACGCCTTACGCTGTTGACATCAATTAGCCAATTAGATGATCTCTCACATAACTCAGTACTTACCCATATTATCCATGTTACTCTGGTGGTTACATATTATAATATACGGAGTTTCTGATTGGAGACGTTCGATGTGACGTACATGAATCTTGATTCCAAACAGGTGTTTAACTGATTCCCGTGTAAACAGAGCTGCCCACCTAAGCATGTTTGTAACAAAATAAGCACAGTCAAATACATCGATATTTTTTTTAATTATTATATACAACAATATGGGACATGTGCTGTTGACCCATTAAGCCGATGAACACATTTACTTGCAGTTTATAATTAACCAACAAACATGTTCATGTCTTCCTATTTCAATAAACAGATTATGAGAAGAACATATCCTCGAAAATGCAGCTATATAATTTGAAAACATAAATGCAAGTCAAATATTGGGGAGTATGTGGGAAGATACAATGTCGTCGTTCCAAACTTGTTCGGCACAGTCTTTAATTCACTGTGTGATCTATGAAAGAAACAGACTTTTTGATCTCCCACACATTGGCTGATCCAAAGCGAAAAACTTTTACACTGCACGCCCAATTTACCGGACGTTATAACACGTTGATCGGATAATCTTTTTAAACATTAATTAACATTAACATCTATTGGCACCCATTTGTAGTAATTTCAGTCAGTAGCTAAGCATCTTTTAAAGCAAAGTTTATATAGAGAAATTGACCAAATTCACAAACAAGCTGATAAATCGCCTGAGATAGTACTTACACCGAATAGAAGTTTACAAAATTGATTCTGATTTTTTCAAATTTGAGGATCGTTCACATATCCCCAAATGTCACTACAATATAATCAGATTGGAAAATTGATGGAATCAAATAATTTGAATGAATCAGATATAATCATACCACCTAGTCTTCGAATCAATACTTTAAGTTGAAACATTGCTTTTTAACTCTTTGCTGATTGTTTAAACCTAGTCGGATTCCAATTAAGTCTAGATGGAAATAATACACCTACTTGTAGTGATGGACAACTTTAATTTCATGATCGCGGTGTAGTAGATGTGATGAAAGTGGCATTAGCTCACCAAATCTGAGTTAGAGTTTTTACCTAAATTTAGTGATGATTTGTATGCAGTCGGGGAGTCTGCCATAGATGAACAATCTGGTATAGGAGAGCCCGTGCCGGGAGCCCGTGTGCGAGTATCGTGGAGGAATACACTTGGCTCCACATAAATTAAAGCGGGGGAGTCGTTACCTAAGCATGCGTCAGGTGGCCTTAGCGTCTCATTGTTTACCAATAGGCGTCTACCCATGAGCCTTTGCGTTCTTAGCTTGTGTTGTTATCATCGCTTGGGACTCAATTCCCACGCGTGCGCAGATGAAGACTCTCCCGCTTTAAAACTACATCGATTCTCGATTATTGGGATTAGAAATATGGAATGCGGATACTATGTTGACTATTGTCGATGTGTACTAGTATATGGCTACTGACAGTGGGGACAATTACGATGAATATATTTGATATCTACATAAAGTACTCGACACTGGGGATTGGAATGCACAGGTAGTTTTATGTTTGGTAAAAACCATTACATTTTCCGATGCCATTTTGGGCACTGAAAATAATTTCACATATTACAGTGTTTACGATAATTCGTCGTGGATGGATCATTGAGTGGCTACATCTTCTGCGCTCATAAAAATACTCACTAATATTCTTGGTCGAAACGTTTCCCACTGAGTATTACTTACAAATGTGACTGTCCACTCCTAATTGACTATTTAATTGATAATTTTCGAGGACTTTATAGACTGGTCTAGTGTAAATAATTCTTACAGTAAGTCTCGGAAGTATTGGGGCAGCCAATTTGCAAATTCGCTGGCGAATTGGCTAACTGCTTTAGTTTTGACTAAACAGTTGGTTTTTGAATATCGCTGGCGGCGACTCGTGGTCGCGTCCACCTGGTACATGCCTAGATTCCCCTGAACGAGGCGTGATAATATAAAAAGTAGTTTCCTGGTCAGCCTGAGAATAGCCACAGTCAGCTGGCGTACAAGCGATAATATGATGAATGCGATTAATCTACCAATATTTACTATATAGGCCGGGGTAGCCATCGTGAGCACAAACTAAATAAAGAGTCAAGATGAAAAACTGTTTCCTACAAATCAGGGAGAAAATCAGGGTAACATTAGGTTTTTTGTGGGCAATCCCTTGCATACGAACACCTTATTACACGAAGAACATAAAACACTTTCTCTGGTATATTTGAATGCAAAATTCCCATCCAGCTGTAAGACCGGCCCTACTGTTATATAGATTATATTATATATAGTGGGCGTGACCAATAGACGGCGCCAGTGATATAGTGAAAACCAAAGCAGATATCCAATTCGCTATCGAGTTTGCAAATTGACTGCCCCAATACTTCTGAGACTTGCTGTAATTTGTTTTCAAAATGGGCATTCTACTGTTGTGTGTATTTTTAGCCCTGTATTGCAGATGTTTTATTTCTTTGTTAAAAATTCAGTGGACTGAATTAACTACAGATGCATGTTTCGTAAGCTATTACATGAGGAAATATTACACTATTTACTTCAAGGTTTTTTTGTTTACTGTACTGATGAGGCTGTGACGCGCATGCTCTTATTTCCTGTACGTATTTACGATTTTGTTCACGTTTTAGTCTTAAACTCTTTTTCTTAAGTCGAGGCATTCTAAATAATGATAATATTGAAATGACACTTATATAATTGTGCAAAGTTAACTTAATAGTCTGGAAATTAGCAAATACTGCTCAGTTAACGGCTACTATATATGCCAACTTACAGTATTAAATTATCTTATGTGACTTAATAGGATATAATTTTACATGTTTAAGAAAATAACTACAAAAAATCAAGAAAAATGTGTTTGTACCGATGACAATACCCATACATAAAAAAGACAAGTGTAAAGGTTTTAAACACTGCAGCTATTTGAGAAGATTACTGCTCACAGTATAGACTGTTAAGCACATGTTGAAAAATGTGTTTGAAATAAACTTTGAACAGATCTAATTACCATACAGTGACTTTTTCACAAAGGTAAAATATTAACTTGAGTAAAAACAAAGGCATTTTTCTATAATGAACTTAAGATGGCGCTGGTTCCAATAAGATGAAAATGTATACTAATCACACAACAAGGATTTCAAAACAACTATTACACCATAGATTTTCTGATTAAATCTTGATACAGATTAGGGGGATTGAATTTCAAAACATTAAAATTACTTTTCTTTAATTAAAAACAAAACGTTTTAACTGAAAAAAACAATTTCTCAATATCTCATTATTTATGCATGTAAAGTGCACCAATATTGAACTTGGTTTTCCTACACCTATGTTGAATTAGATCATGAAACAAATTGATGTACAAGTATGTCTAAAATATAGGTGTGTGTGTCCGTGCGTCCGTGTGTCTGCGCGTCCGGACCTATATCTTAGACATGCTCGTACATCAATTTGTTTCACGATCTGATTCGAGATGGCCAAATGGTGGCCATTTTTGTACTGGATTTTGCTCAAACTTTGTGCATATATTGGACATTGATGCACAGCATTTTGTTTTTCCAGATCGGATTCAAAATGGCCGATGAATGCGGTTTAAATTTTATATATTCAGTATACATCATGTCACAGAAATACAGATGTATTCAAAATGGCCGACTGGTGGCCATTTTGTTTTAATTATTGCTGTTCCAGAGCAATATCTCTCAATAAGTTCTCGTTAGACGATCAGATATAGGTGACTGAAGGTCAACTTTTTTAATTCATCATAATCAAGCATCATCTTCTGGATCTATATATCTGACATTTTTATGTTCCAACAATATTTACTACCTTATACTAAAATATGTTTGGATATTTAGACTTAAATTCCCACTTCCGGTCCGGTTAGACTTAAAATACACCACGAATATTCACTTTTAAGATATTTTGAGCGTTTCGCGATTTCGACATCGAAAATTCCTCTGCTTCATTATTTGCTGAGGGTCGGCTGCTTAGGTATGTGCTCTGTAACTTGCAGCACATGAACCTAAAAACCTTAGGTAATCAAATTCACAAGAAGT